CTCGATCTGATCGATCATGATGATATTCATGAAACTGATAGGCAGAAACCGATAGATATATTAAAAGTCTAATAGAATTTATGGCAGTTATATACAAAAACGATTCAAGTGAAGTAATTCTCCGATATATCGTAATTAATAATCGTACAATTTATTACAATTTTCTTGTATTATTATAATTTATTTAAATAGATAAATATATTTTGTAATAAATTTAGCAGACGATTTTTAATGAATAAATTCATTATTCGAAAATCATCTCAATATGTATGAAAAAAAAATGTTAATCATTTCACTTCTTTGCATGCCAAATACACGGGAAAGGAAAAACTGCAGAATTTATACAATATTGTTGCAGCGACAGGACATACATCACGTCCACGCGACAAAACATATACGTGCAAAACTAACATACGAGTCCTTAATAACAATATCGAATTAATCCTTCGGAGTCGTTTTAGCACGTTACACGCGAATACCAATTCCGACACCTCGCAGCGGGATACTCGTCAGAATCCACCCGCCGGCCGAAGTTAAAGAGACAATTCGACAGACGGGAGATTACCCGACGCGCCGCGCCACTAAAGAACCACTGGCGCTCTCCCCCTCCGGTAATGTGTCTTCTCGCGTGGTAGACACCGACGTCGTATTTCGCGTGCTTTACGAGCGCAGCTTCTTGACATCGTCGAAACAAGAATATACTCCGTGACCCGGGGCCCCCGAACCAGCCACGACCAATGCGCAGCCACGAACAGCCCCGGACGAACAGAACCCGTAAATCCGCTCGTTCGTATATATTTGGTGAACGATCAGTATATAATTTTGCGCCTCGTTTTAACTTCACAAGAGGACTTTCAAAGAGACGGATTATATACTAAATTGGCATAATCATCTATCGTGACTAAACATCATTACGATGAATTATATTCTAAATAAACAGAAATATCGACAAATTTCTATATAATAAATTTCTAATGTATAATGAAAAATATCAATACAGAATTATAACATATTACACTGTTAAATCTATAGTGTCAAATTTAATGAACTTATTTGAGTCGCCACTGCTGCTACTTAATAAATAGTTATTTTTAATTCATCGTAATGAATTATATTCTATATTATTAAAAACTATTTACTGTTATTTGAACGTAAAAAATGCGCAATAATTTATGATTCGCTATTGAAATAACCAACGCGTGTCAAATCTCGAAAAGACGAACAAGAAAGTTATAACAGACTTTTAGAAATCACACGTGGAATGTATGGGATCTTCCACCGCGGTGAAAGATCGCTTAGTAATAAAAATTAACGCTATTAACGCCTCGGAACCGTTCCTACGTGATATAAATCCGGCAATATCGCAAGTAGCGTGACTACAACGTATATAAACGAAATTAAAGATTCAATCCCGTGATTTACGATTATTGGCGCGGCGCGTGTAATCGTCCCTACCTTCGAATCGATACTTAATAACGCAATTAATTCGCTAATTGGATTAGGCGCAACGCACTTCTTCATTGATATATAACGATATAATACCGTAGCGCGATTAGAATATCGTAGACAATTCTGGCGGTATCTTTACCAAAATCAGGGATCGGATGCTGCGGACATAATATATCCATGTCTTTCGGTTAGCTTTGATCATTTTGCCTAGGATGAGATTAGACATTTATTTTGAAAAAGAGAAATGTAGTAGACACTGTCATAAGAGATTCAGTGGTCTAAACACCACGATTTTATCACAATTATAACAAAATATCGAAGAAATATTAAAGAATTTGTATAACAAAATTGTTTAAAGTTATCAACGAAATGAAATCTTATCACGTACAAAATTTATACCTAGTTTGTTTACATGACAAATGTGATCTTTCATCGTGTTCCTTTCGCTAACTGTATTGGCATGTGTGATTACTCGTGATTTTATTGCGGCCAACGGCGGCATGAATAATTTAACGCGGCGTATTAATCTTGCACCGAGAAATTTGTCCTAAGTACTGATAATAGTGTCCCATTACAAACGACATAAAGAACGATCGGCGGCACTTCTAAGGCCCTTCGAATAACTGCAGGGTTCCATGTGTGTACGTGCAAATATGCGCGCACAACCGATGACTCTTAGCTCTGCAATTACGCGATAAAGGATTGTATGTAATTCATTATCACGAGGCGACCCTAATTATTATCGTCAACTCGATTGCACCTCGTTAATTGCGCGGAGACGAACAAAGCACCTGCTGGTTGCTCTCTCTCTCTCTCTCTCTCTCTCTCTCTCTCTCTCGCTCTTTCGTTCTCGATCTCTTTCTCTCTCGCTCTTCCTCTCTCCACCCTCGACGTTTATTTCGTGCCGTTTCAACCAACGTCGCGGACCGCGAACTGCTACCCTTTCCTTGCTTTCTACTTTGAGAAAAGCCACCGTCCGAATGCGAATGTGCATTCTTCATGCTTTAACCGGTCTTACTTAAGTCGGTGGTACTGTAGCCTATTTTAGTGGGCTAGAGATCCATAAGGAGCCAAAAAGAAAAAGAACTAGTCTTAGTGTTTTATTTGAATATATCTATCGTTGCGATGTTGGAAAGTTTGAGCCATCTTTTTTGAGCGTGCCCTTTAATACATCCGACGTTCATAGATTGATATTCATGATTTATAA